GTGGAGATGCAGATGCGATGTTGATCGCATGCATGCATGCACGCACGTTGGATGTAGTTAGATATAGACTTGAACACGTACATTGCTGTTTGCCGGATGCAGAGAGGGAGTGCGTGAGAGCGTTGTTGAGGTGATGTGTGTTGGGCTTAATAGAGGAGATATAGGGGGTTGGTATGAGGTGAGGTGACTTACTCCACCTTTTTGGGGTGGGAGGGCGTGTTTAGGCTAAGAGGGTGCGTGATGGTCGGAGTGGTCACTTGGAACAACTACTTCTACTGCAATGCTACGGCTGGTCGATTGAGATTGAGATGCGAACATGAGGATATGTCAATAATCTCCATCACGCGACTCACAAAGTCCATCACAACCGCAACACACCACAATCTTCACTTCACCACCAAGCCCACAGCAGACACAATTCTTGACTATCTTGGCAGCTACACCAAATGCTTAACCGACCTGTATCTTTATCGGTGAGTATGCGCAAGTCGTGGTGATATGCTGTGTGAGCTGGTGAGGTATATGCAGGGTTCACGATCCATCCATAGATGTTGAATGTGCAAGTGAGAAACGTGACGCACGTGTTCGTGTTCAACGTGGCAGGCCAGCCGAGGTGAGCGGGGCGCCGATGACGGAATGGGGGCTGGTCTTATCGATAAGACACCTTGAGGTCTTGTCTTGGAGTGCTACTGCGTGTGCGGGCTGGGCGCGATAGACTCCGCGCGCTAAAGTATGGAGGCATGCTTGGTAGGCGGTAGCACTTTGTACCGTGGTACGGGTGCATGGTGACAGATGATAGACGGGCCCTTGAGGTTGGGTTTTTAGGGGTGTGGTCGGTCAGGATACCGCAATGCTTTGAGAGGCAAGTCTGCAAACAAAGGAGTCGGGACGATTAAACAAAGTTCACCTATCACTACGCCGCGCATCTCCCCCACGTGTACGCTGGAAGCTTGGCCACAAGCGGTCGATCGCGACTATGGCGCTTGGCTGGCTTGCTTTCACCGGACCTATTTCACCGCCGCCATCATTCGCATCCGTGAAAGGAGCGCGCAATTGCTTCAGCATCCATCTGCACTCTTCCACATCAGCGTGCGAAATCGAGTAACCACCGCGACAATGTCAGAACCCGATCTGCACCGCGCCATATCCATGAAACCGCACCCGTTCCACACGCACCCGGATCGCATAGAACGCACATCAAGTCCCCACCACGCGCACCTCAGCGCCAGCAGCAGCAACAACAGCCCCAGCGCGCAACATACCCATAGCCATGCCGACGCTTCAACTCCGCGCAAGAACGACGCCAGCAGCACTGCCATCGAAACCAACGCCCCAACACCGTCCCACGACCCCATAGCCCGCCACATCCGCCACCACCCCGACTTCTCAGACCTAGAATCGCAATCACCCCCGTCCTACACCCCCGATAACGACCCCTACTCCCTCTCCTCCGCCATAAAACCCGAATCCGAACTCGCCCTCATCCGCGCCAACACCTCGCGCAAACGCGACGGCTGCGGGCCCATCACCCTCAACAAGAAGGCGACGTCAGCGAAGAGGCTAGAGGAGTTTTACTCTGCCCAGAATGAGAATATAGAGAGATTGCTTAAGCCCGTGGCGGAGCATAGGGCTGCGGCGAAGGATGAGGATACGGCGAATCATCTCAAGTATAGGATTGCTGTTATTGGGAGTTTTGCTGCGAATATTATACTGGCTGTGTTGCAGCTTTATGCGGCGGTTAGTTCGAGGAGTTTGAGCTTGTTCACGACCATGGCGGATTCGCTGTTTGATCCCTTGAGCAATCTTACGCTGATTATGTGTAATCGCGCTGTTGCGAGAGTGGATGCGAGGAAGTTCCCCTCTGGGAAGGCGAGGATCGAAACAGCGGGAAACCTGTCGTTCTGCGCGCTTATGATTACCGTTTCGGTGGTTATCATCGTGGAATCTATCCGCACAGTCGCCGAACACAACGGTCCCGAGACGAACGACTTCTTCCTCCCGTCGGTCATCGCCGTCAGCATAGCATTCGCGACGAAGTTCTCGCTATTCTTGTACTGCTGGGCTCTCCGCAACAAATACTCTCAAGTCCGCATTCTGTGGGAGGATCACAGGAACGATCTCTTCATCAACGGATTCGGTGTCTTGACCAGTGTCGGTGGATCAAAATTGAAGTGGTGGTTGGATCCTATGGGCGCGATGATACTTTCCGTTTTGATCATCTTCCTTTGGTCGAGGACGGCGTACTCGGAGTTTCAGCTCCTCATTGGTGTTACGGCTGATACGGCTATGCTGCAGCATATCACTTATATCTGTAAGATATCCTCCCACTCCGACTATCTCCTTCATCCTACTAATTGTTCTCGCAGCGATGACACACTCTCCCACCATCCTCCAAATCGACACCGTACGCGCCTACCACAGCGGACCCCGCCTCATCGTTGAAGTCGACATCGTCATGGACCCTGAAGCCACTCTACGTGCTACACATGATGTAGCCGAGGAACTTCAGATTAAGCTGGAGAGTCTGCCGGATGTAGAGAGGGCGTATGTGCATGTGGATTACGAGACAGATCACAGACCTGAGCACTTCTTGAAGAAGGAGTTGTAGGCGGCGATCGATGACGCATGGAGATGAGGGAAGTTGTGCCGGGGACATAGTCACAGAAGATGTCAAGTATCGCGCCTTCAATGTTGTATATATTCCTCTCGACTCTTGTCCTCTTTCCATATCCACCACCATAAAGGAATCACCACAAGAACACAATCACTACATCACCACACCCCACCCCCACCATTTCACTTCCCCTTCCTCCGATACGGACTCGCCATCCCCCCACTCAGCCTCCCACCCTGCACATTCCACTCCGCCGCACTCCCCGCTGCAGCCCTGTCCTCAGAAAGATCATAGTCACCGAAGTTCCTCTCTTTGAAATCATTCCAGCGCTCGCGGAGCGTTTTCTTCTTGCGATCTGCTCGTCGCTGAGCGTCTAAATCGGTATATTCAGAACCGAGGACTGCTGCGATGGTACTTGCTGGTGCGCCGCTGCTGTGTCGTTGGTTTGTGGGTGCGGGGCGTGATGTAGGCTGCTTTTGCGGGTCTGTAGAAGAAGTGGAGGGGTTGGTAGGGTATTTTGGTGGCTGGGCTGATGGCTCGGCGTCGTAGTAGATGGGTGGTGTATCGTTGGGGTCGATGTTGTTTCTGTTGACGTTGGCGTTGGATTTGGCATCAGTCGAATGCGATTCCTCGGTTCCCTTGGTGTTGTCTGATTCCGCGCCCATGTTGTGCCTGGCGAGAGTGTCGCAAGTGGCTGTTGGGTGTGCAGTGTTGCTGATGTGATGGCAGTAGTGCCAATGCTCGGTTGACGTGGGGTAAAGTGACTTATTCATACGAGCTCCCCTTAATGCCCAGGTGGCACAGCAAGGTCAAGACTTCCAAGATAAAAAGACTTAACGTGCCGTAACTCCGACATGCCACCTAGATAGCCTGTTCGATCCTCTCAACCTACTACTCAGCTAAGTACTGCTATTCTTTCCACAAATGGTACTAGCCACAGCGCCGCTTCTACAATTAGTCGTCATAGTAAATTGCATTTAATCAAAGTGGCCGTCAGCACTACATACAAGGCCTCGAGCAACACGAAAGTCTCCTCGGTAGTCGCAATGCGTTCGTTGTTGATGTTACACAATGTCTAGCCTATCGGTAAGCCACATGACACAAGTCCGGGCAGCCATTCTATACGTCATTCCTGTCCCGCTACGACACCGGCACAGCCTTACAGATGGCCATCCGGAACATGGTTTGAGCGTTACTATGCCCATCTTCCCTTTTACGTATCCTGCGACATTGCTCAGCCTCTCTTCAGCCTTGTGCAGACCTAGGCATCCGTTCACTCGCAACCTAGACAGTCTTGCGGAAGAAACTCGCCTTGTTGTTATTCTCCTAGCAAGGCCGTGACCGACTTCACTGTCGCATCATCACCACGACGCTGGACAGATGACCCGGTTGGCTGTGTCGTACAAGTATGCTGTCAGGCTGACTTACGTGTTGGTGGGCTACGCGCAGCATTATGGGGCTGTGGCTGCATGCAGTGATTTGAAAAGATGCAAAGCTGAGGTAGGCGACATGGTTCGGGATGTAACGTTTCGCTTGCACCGAAGGTTGGGAAAGCTTGCAACGTCGATTGGTCAGTCAGATATATTTTTTGCCCTGTTGAAGCAGCCCAAGGCTGATTCCCCGCCAATGTCAGGCTGGGGGGCGACGGAGACATGACCGATAAGGGAAGATGCGAGGCTGAGAACCGAATTTGCAGAGCGCGTCGCGTGGCTCGAACGGATTTGGCGCGCGGCTGAGAAGTGCTGTAATACGGGATATGGAATCTGGAGGCCTTCCGATCTACTGCGGTCCTCATCGCATTCGTCTTTCACTACATCGACCACAGCTTTCACGACATTGCAAAGACACTCACTCGACTCACAATTACACGACTCGCGCGATTTTGATATCTCCGACGACCGCAAAACATCCTGAAGCTATGGGAGACCCGAGATCTCCAACCCAGTCTACGAGGGCAAAAATCAAGTCCAGGGCCAGTTCATTGTGGACCAAGGCCAAACCTTGGTCTACTGGACAAAGGTCACTTCCACACGCCAATCTCACGCAAAGTAACCCGGTAACTCCAGGAGAGACACAGCAGCCTCGTCATCATCAGTCAATTACCACTTCCACATCACAAACCGATTCGCATACCTCCCCAACGCCGCTGTCGCCAGCAGAACCCCAGACCGCGACGCTCAGAACATCGACACATCCCGGGGCGACCGGTGCGAACCAGCAGCAACACACAACGACTGCACCGTCGCCAGACTCGGTACAAGACGTTAATCACGGAGCGTTTACCCTTCTCGAGGCCGTCCAAACTGTTCCGCTTAGTCAACACGAAGACCGTGACCAGCCACGGATGCCGGGAGTCGTTGCAGTTGCGAAGACTGATTCAAGCATTATGGCCACAGTGCTCCTTCATCCCGAAACTGAATTCAATTCGTTCTTCTGGGCTCAAGCCTACACAGCCTTCGACGAAAGACACGAAAAGTCAGACATCGAGCTGCTGAAAGGAGGAGAGGGTAGTCTTGCTGTCATTACCAAATTGGAAGACACACTGTCTCGGAGAAAGCGAGAAAACAAAGGCCTTCCTCCCAAGATCGAGCGGGCAATCCGCAACGTTCTTGTGTTCAAAGACATATCTGTTGCTGCTGCGCAATTCGATCCACTGAGAGCTGCGCCCACCATTGTGCGAGGAGTTTGCAACGTTCTCCAGGTACATCCAGTTAGAATGTGTCTTATTCAAGATGACTGATTTCAGCACAGGTCTTGGTAGATGGTGTCGACCAACAAGCGGGCTTGTTGAATGCGGTAGAGGACATCACAACCATAATCCGCCACTGGGGAAACATCGAGTACCTCTACTTGCGTAGAAATGCCGAGACAACAGACAACCGCCACATCCGTGTAGAGGCCAGCCTTCTCGCTCTCTATGGGCTTATTCTTGAGTTCATCTTACACTTAATCAAGATCTGCAAGCATGGCACCACGGGTAAGTTGCCAATCTTTCTTCCGGATAACGATGGACACTAATCAAGAATGATAGCGCAGATATTCGGGTCTCCGGGCGCAAAAGTGGAAATGACTAGACAGCATTTGGAGGTTAAGACACGAGATTCACGATGCAAGCAGGAGTTTGAAGACTGCCAGAAAATCGGTGACGAGTGTTTAAAAATCCGCGAATGGGTGTTCAAGGACGTACCTGAGAAAGCCTACATGGACATGTGCGAGCGCATTCAGCTAGACAAATATCCCGGTTGTGGTCAGTGGCTACTCGACTCGGAAGAGTACAAAAGCTGGGAGGCTGGGAACACTGAGGTTCTGTGGATACGAGGTACCGGTAGGTGACACATATTAAAGTATCAGGCTAGACTAACGCTTACAGTCGGAACGGGCAAAACGTCATTAATGTACGTTCCTTCGCGAGCTGTGTGAAAAAGCGATCATGCTAATATCTCAGGACCCGGGTTATTCAGCACCATGCAGAGGCTTCTTTCATGCACAAAGATAGGCGTCTCGCCTACATCTTCTGCACGAATAACTACGGCGATCAATCTCCAAAACGAATCCTGAAATCCATCCTCCGGCAGATAATCTACAATCATTTGGATGGTTCGATAGCGCAGAAGGCACGCGACATGTACAACGAATCGGAAAGGTTGCCTTTCGAAAGCATACAGCAGTGTAAAGATCTCTTCGACGGAATCTTGCGCGCGGGAATCAAAATTCGCATTGTGATCGATGCTCTGGACGAATGCGAGGATTGGAAAGACCTGTTGGACGTTTTCTCTACGATTCACGGCTACGCAACTACACCGAATCAGTTTCAATTGCTCGTTACTGGGCGGGTTCATGTGAGAGTTGACGAAAAGTTTAGAACGGCTAGAAAAATCGACGTGGTCGCCACCAGGACTGCTTCGGAAATCCGACACTATATTACCAGGACGATTGAAACGTGTCCCAAAAACGAGAGACCAGCAGAGGGAGAGTACCCAGCACTCCAACACAAACTTGTCGAGATCTTGGTCAATAAGGCCAATGGAATGTTCGTGCATCCCTGCTGTTAGAGAATCAAGCTGACAAGTCAAGGTTCATCTGGGTCAAGCTACAACTAGCTGCTTTCCTCAAACCGGAGTACGCGATCTTCGACGAAACGACATTTGAGGATATGCTTCAGACTCTCGAAAATCAGCCACTGGCTAATGCCGACGAGTTGCACAAGGTGTATGCCTCTCTTCTCCAGAAAAATTCCAAAGACGGTACCAACGAACGCATCCTCACAACATTCATATTCCAGTTGATGTTGTGTAAGCCTGGATACATGAGCATAAAAACGGGTTTCGCAAGATTAGCTCTCACTTCGGCGAGACCCGTATTGTGCAGGACGTCGAAGAGCAGCCAAAATGCGTCAATCACAGCCCACCAGGCAGAACGGCTTGTCCAGAACTTCATTAGTAAATGTGGAGAAAACTGGGAGTTTTCTCACGCTTCTGTTATCGATTTCCTGCAAAAGGAGTTCCCTCTTCTCTACAATGAGACAGCATGTCATACTGACATTGTCCGAGTGTGCGTTGGGTACCTGATGAACAACCCATGCATGACGCTATCAGAACTAAGCTTCGCGAACGCTCAAGTTCGCATAGAGCCCCAAATCGACTGGGTTGATTATGCATTGAGGCAGTTTCCTCGATACTATCGTGCATTGAGCAAGGAAGCCCGCCAGTCCCATGACATCGACAGTCTTCTCATCAATTGGATCGCGGATCGAGAGAGTCCAGTCCGACTTCAAGACTGGCTCAACGCCCAAGTCCGTCAGGTCATGCAGCTTCAATGGTTGATTAACAACGAGTTCGACGACATTGTGGAAGCGCTGATCTCGTCACCAGCATATCTGGAGAAATCCCTGTGCGCATTCGAGCTCTCTGCGTGCTTGAGAGACAGCCTTCAGCCCGGAAAGAAGCTGCATTCTCAAATGGCATCACTCTTCATCAAGATGGTCACCGACAAGTATTCACATGAGCCGATACCCGTCTGCCAGGCATTCGGTGTCGCTTTTTTCGTAGGGGATGAGCGAAGTTGCCTGGAGTTGCTCAGTTTCATCTCGAAGTTCAACCGGGACGACATATTCCAGGCTATGTTCGAGGAGACGGTAGCGTCGTACAAGAAAATACGGCACCCACTCAAGGATTTCACTGTCCAGATGTCAGTACTCGTTACCGGGGTGATTGACATGCGCCCACCGGACCAGAAAGTTCTCTTCATGCTCAATAATCTGGTTGCTTATCACGGCAACGAGCAGGCGATGGAGCAGTTGTGGGGAGCAGGCGCATATCTTACCGGAGGTGTAAACGGTAGAAATCATGTTCTGTTCGCTGCTGTACGGGGTAGTCACCTTGCCATCGTCAAGTTGGTCCTAGCAAAATGTGCCTCGCAAGACCATGAGATCGAACCTCGGGTCATCAGTGGATGTGCGTATATTCTCGAACACAGCGAGAAGAAGGTGGCGGCCGATATCGGGAAGCTGTTCTCTAGCTTTGAAGGATGGTCCGACGCAAAAGAACTGGCGCGCACAACTCGCGAAGCAGAAAGGCAACTCCACGGGATGCCAAGGAACATCCGATTACGCATCGATCCACGCGAAGCAATGCAGCCAGATACGCCACCACACCCAAGCCAATCAGCGCCCGATTTGTCGACAGCCAAACATGACAGTACCTCGAACACCATGAGTGAAAGAGACGCAAGCGGCAAGATCGTTATTCCCGTGCAGAGAAAATCACACGGTGCGGACGAGGAAGATCACATATTCACTCCCTCGGCGGTAGGAGACTAACTGAGTATGTAATCTGGAATGCTTGGGATGCTATTGAAAAGACGATTATTTTATACACTCAAGCAACCATGAAATGGGAAGTGGTATTATACGCGAAGTTCAAACGCCATCGCCAAGCGCTAATATCCAGAACACACTCCCCCCACACCCACTCCATTGCCCTCCCCCTGCAGCAACGTACTCCTCATCCTGGTCGCCGCCCTCAGCACCCTCAGCGCACTCAATTCCCTCGCTTTCTCTCCACTAACATCCGCCTTCGCCTTAAGATCAATATTACTCGAGCTGGGCGGCAAGCGCTTTTTCTTCTTCAAGCTGACCAGCCTCGCAGCCGCACTACCGTCTAGACTTTTCCCGAGGTTCGTGGTGATGGAAATTTTGACGTTGCCGCTTCCGGTGCGCTTGTGGAGAGATGAGGGTGCGCCTTCGGGTTTGCGGTCGTCGGATGGTATTGAGCAGGATGGGGCGGGAACGGCGGAATGCCGGCGTGCTTTTCGTGCGGCTTTGGCGAGTTCGGTGATGCATGTGCGGGGAAGGGTGGACGCATCGGTGGAAGAGGAGTCTGTGAAGTCGAAGATGGCGAGGTTGTCTTCCTGTTGGACTGTAGTGGATTGAAATTCCATGATGTCTTGCGTTGCGTTGGGCGCCGGAATTGCAGGCTTTCTTTTCGTGATACTTGCTCCGCTGATGAGTACCGATATGGCGTTCGAAGCAGTCAAAGACTTGACTTCTATTGATTCGGAGGCATGCGGTGACTTTGATTCGATAGTGTGTTGTGATGTACGGTCGCGGCGGCTTGCGAGCTAGTTGTCTGTAGTTTTTGCAAAAGTATGTGTAGGTTTAGTAAGCGTGATAGTGAGCGATGATGAGATAGTAGAGATAGAGACGGGAAGATACGTTGCGTTGAGACGTAGTTATCTGGATAACTCTCGACACTTTTGTGACACTAGTATTGCGTTGACATCACGACATGGATACAGCACGCACCATCAAGGCATCACCGACTATCACCGCGAACGCATCAAGTCTACGCAGTAATCATTACAACTATAAACCACCAGCCAGCAAATATACCCATTCCACAGAAACAAACCACTTCTCAATCAAAGTAGTCAAAGTGGTATAAACGCCTATTTCCAATGTTATGATGAGGGAAGTTGAAGCCCCGAAGGCCCCGAAGGTCCCGAAGGGGAAAAAAAGAAGAAGTGAGTGTACAAAAAAAGGGGGGGGTGTGAATGAATCTATTATTCTCCTTGGCTAAAAAGAAAAAGCTATAACAGCTTTTTATCTTTGCCTTACAAGACTTTTGGTGCTACATGATTGGGTTGTGGAGAGGGTGCTGTGCGATTCGGGTTCGACGGGGGGAGATGCGCATTGGTGCTGGGGTCGGGAGTCGCGGGGTCGGGGGTGCTGGATTCGTTTCGTGTCGACTTTAGGCAAATTCGGGATGACCGCAGCCACCTGGAGTCTTTTCCGCGGGTGGACGATAGGTTGAGACACCATTAACCAATTCCCAATGTCCGAATCTGGTGCCATGGTTGTACGACGAAACGACTCCGCCTCCTCCTCCGAATTGGGACGCATGCGACGACGCTGCTCTATCAAGGATTTCCGGGTAACTGCGAGGGACGTAGACCGATGAACCCGGGGGAGCGAAGTTCCGTGCGCGACGACATTCTTCGAACGGATGGGCTCCGTACTGTGCTTCGAGGTGCTGGGATACGCGAGGGGGAGCTAGAACCCATGCTTTAGCCACATGCTAGACGGTACCTCCAGAGAGGTTATCCAACATCTTGGCCAACACAAGGTTCAAGCAGTGCTGGGGGAGGGAAGGGGTATCAAGACAATCAGGCCATTACGCCTTGGTTGCCGCCTGGGAAGGGGAAGTCAGTGGGCTGGAGTATATATATAAGGTGGGGATGTCGATTTCACTAGAGAGGAGCGGGGCGGAGGTAGGGGTTGTAGCCGAGCGACGTACCGACTTGACGCTTGATCTGTTCACGTGCCCATCGAGCAGTGTCTCGGGTCCGGCCGCTGAAATCTTGGTTTGCGCGTGTCTCCCTCGCCATTGCGGTGAGAAACTCGTGACGGAAGTACTCCCTGAAGTCACCAGCTGGGAACGCATCCGCGAGGTCACTAAATGATGTTAGTGGGATATATTGAAAGAAGGACACCTGTACATACCCGATAACACCACATGAAGATCGGAGGAGAGCCTCAGTGCGGTTGCTGTCTGCTTGGATAGTGCGGAGAAGGTCGAAGATGGAGTCAAGGTATGGGACGATGAGTTGAGCTGTAGCTGTTAGTGTGGGATCAACGTCTTGGATTACAAAACTTACTCTTGTTGCTGCTCTTCATGGCAACGATGCATCCGTCCCATGCATCCATAATACCCTCACGGAGAGAGGTAATGTAATCGATCATCTCGTAGTTGCCCTCGGTGGTCAATGTGACTTGTCCAGCTTGTTGCAGCACTTGAGCAACAACGGTCAGGTAAGTCTCGAATGCACCGTGGATGGCATGTGCGATATCACCGAAGCATTGCAGGATAGCTGGCTTGAGCTGGTTGCCAAGTTGAGGGCTGCGGAGGTTGTGGAGAAGCGAGTTCATGAAGGCATCGCAGAATGGCTGGACGTTCTCGCCCAGAGATCGGGTGATGTCAGAAACCAGACCAATGGCCATGGAGCAGAGCGCGGGCTCTTCCTGGTTGTTAAGAGCATTGTACAGGAATGGGGAGAAAGCCTCCATGTACTTCTGGAAGTCTTCCTCAAGAGCCGTCGCGATCGAACCAATGGCGGCAAAGACAGTATCTGGAACACTGGACTTGGGAGGCAGAGATGAAAGCAGACTCAGCAGCGCCTGCATGATGCGGTCGGCCTGGGGCCTGATGTCGCTCTCCATTCGCTGAATGATGGCCATGATGACACTAGCCAAGCTAGTCTGCATCTCTTCGAGAGTCAGCTTGTCCTCAACGTTGACAACCTGCGATTGGAGTGCCATGGACTTCTCCAGACGCTCGAGAATGACGTTGGCGAGCTCGTTGACCAGGGGAACGCTGTCACCAGCGGCGTTGTTGACGAAAGAGTTGAGTACTTCGTATGCGGCTGTGCGGAGAGTGTTGTCGGCATCAGCGCGCTCGGTGACCTGCAAGAGGCTCTGCACGCTCTGGGCGAAGTGGGGCGACAATGGGTTGGTTGTGCAACCGGGCTCTCCGGCGAACCTGTCAGCCAAGTTCATCAGCGACCAACAGCACGATGCGGCCATCTTAGGGTTGCTGGCGAGACCGTTGAAGAGAGCTCCGATCAGGGGAGGCAGGTGCTGCTGTGCGTCGAGTGCGCTGGGAACAGCCTCGCAGATGCGGCCCAAGGCGTATGCGGCGGAGTCCTTGACGTGGATGTTCTGGTCGTCCATCATTCCAATCAAAGTAGGCAGAGCTTGCTTGACAATGGGGTCTAGCACACTCTCCTCGGGACCCTCCATGATGGCACCGAAGGCGGAGACGGACGCATCACGGTAGTGCCAGTCTTCTGAGCGGATGTACTTCTCGATGAAAGCAAGGACTGGAGGCATAACGCCGCTACCGACACACTGTGCCCAGAGCTGCAGACATTGGTATGCTGCGCGGGAGGTGTTGTACTCGTTGTCGTCGGCATCCTCGTCTTGCTTGGCGAGAAGCTCGAGAAGCACTGGCACGACCTCTTGTGTAGCAACTCGGGCAAAGTTGAAGTATTCGCGGAGTTCGGTGGAGCCCTCGGCTTGAGCTTGGCTGTTGTCGTCCTCGATAGCGATTTCCTCCTCACAGACGGTGCACCAGAACTCGACAGCCAGCTTGGCAACATCTTCTTCCTCGCTCTTCATGCCCTGGATGGTAAGACCGAATAGCGCCTTCTCCATGTAGAAGCGCATCTTGTCGTAGTACAGACCCATGATGCGGTTGAGACATCCGTACGAGCCCTGCTGGATGCGGCTGTCGTCCGCTTGTGTGGCTTCGCAGATGACCTGCATGATGTAGTTGCGCTCGCCCTCATTGTCGAAGTTGGAGCGGACGAACTCGATCGAGTCGCTGAGCGCGTTGATGGCGGCTACACGGACGTCGTTGTTGGCCTCCTCCTTGCGGGCACCCTGGACGACAGCCGTCAGGATAGCGTTGGAGTGCTGTGCTAGCGCGTCCCTCAACTCTACATCGTCTGTGTCACACACGAAACCGATTGTGGTAAGCGAAGATTGCTTTTGGGCGTCGCTGCCTTGACCGACACTCTCGACGAGCGAGGTCATGAGCTCCGGCCATTGATTGCGGGGTATCTCGATAGCAGCGACGGAGGCGATGAACTGTGCGGCGGCGGAGCCTACATTCTTGTTGGGTGTGGCCAGAGTCCGCAGGGCCATGTCCTTGACCTGCTGCTTGATCTGGGTGTCGAGGCTGAGCCATCGTTCTTGAACCTGACGTAACCGGGCATACTCGCGAGCGGTGAAGGCGTTCTTCAGGGCCAGGGCGGCGGCCTGTCGGATTTGGGGCGCGGCTTGTTCATTTGCGAGTTCGCCGCCGAGGACGGTGAGGTATTGAGGCTGAGGATAGACGTTAGTGGATATGTTCTGGCTATGTCTCGGGGGGCATGCAGCCTTCTGGCAGCGGGGGACTCACAAAGTCGGAGTCGGCAGCCTGGATGAGCTGTTGCTCGGCGCTGTTACGGATGCTAGCGTCTGCAGAAGGGTCAGTCGAGCTTCTAGAAAAGTGCGGGTCTCACCAAAGGCAGCATACCGGCGGAGTAGGTCCCCTCCAACACCTGGTTGATATCCATAACTGCTGAAGGGTGCTTCAAAGATTCAGGCGGGGTATCTGGCGGTGGGAAGAATTAAAGGGCCGCGGTGGCGGGAGAAGCAGAAGGTGGTGCGGCAGGAGGGCAGGGAGTGGTGAGGTTACGGAGGGCGTCCGTCGTAGGGAGGGAATTTGAAGCGAAAGAAGGTCGAGCGTAGACAGGCCTAGTTCACGTGTTGTTTTCCTT